TATAGGACTTAAGGACCTAAAGGTACCTCTGGAATATAGGACTTGAGAACCTAAAGGTACCTCTGAAGTATAGGACTTAAGGACCTAAAGGTACCTCTAGAATATAGGACTTGAGGACCTAAATGTACCTCTGAAATATAGGACTTGAGGACCTGAAGGTACCTCTGAAGTATAGGACTTAAGGACCTAAAGGTACCTCTGGAATATAGGACTTGAGGACCTAAAGGTACCTCTGGAGTATAGGACTTAAGGACCTAAAGGTAACTCTAGAATATAGGACTTGAGGACCTAAAGGTACCTCTGGAATATAGGAAGGTGTTTACTGTAATTAGTACTAGACTAATTAGCTCTAATTAGAGAAGTACTCACATAATTAGTAGTAACTAAGATGAGTGCTAAATAATTAATAAAGACTTGTTTAACAATTATATACATTATTGGTGTGCATCGATGACTTTCTGTGGTATATGGTAAAAATGGTAAAATATGGATTTTGGACTCAAGTTTGGATAGCGCCAACTTTGGTTCACTTCATATCACCCCCATAAGGACTTATGGGTACCATCCTGTAATAGCTGTTGAGGACTTATGGATACCCCATATAATAGCTATTGAGGAGCTATGGGTACTTCTATATAACAGCCCTTGAGGACCTATGGATCCCCTATATAATAGCTTTTGAGGCCTTCCGCTTATAGAATTATTTGACCTTTTGACCTCTAACCTTTAACCTGGGCACAGAGACGTCAGACAGACACTGAACATTATATATATAGATTGTGGAATAATATTGAGTTGATATTCCTAATTATGATTCAAGGAGTTCATAGATAATTCATTTAAATGTTTATGTTATTTAGAGAACTGCGGAGTCATGTTATTTTAAATGCGACTTCAAAAAACTCTGGAAATTTTTTTCTGTACACTAGCAACAGCCTACTTAGGTAATTTAAGGTCACTTGAAGATAATTTCTATTTCATGTTATTTGGCTATTGGCTTGACAGCTTTTACTTACCAAATGTTACAAAATTGTAAAAAATAAATACGGCACAAGAAAAGAATGAAATAGGGTTTTTGAAGTTTCTATAATTTACATCAACTTCAACTCCGAAAAAAAAGAGATCGACTTCAGTTCCAACTTTGACTTCCAAAAAAATTTCTTTTAGCGATTCTAATATTGTTCTATTTGATAGAAGTTACAGTCACTGCATAACTAATATTTTTCTAAGAGCTATTTATTTTATCATTGAATAAAATAAATAACTATTATTTAATACAATATTATAGATGAACATTCCTACACAAAAAAATCAAGATATTTATTAGAATACCATCATAAAAACAAAATATCTTCTTGTCGTATAATTGAAATCAATAGAATTAAAATATATTTTATTGAAAAAGATCAGGAATACATTATAGATTAATTTCAACATTGAAAGAAGTTTTATACGAATATAAATGTATTTTCCATTTCATTTCAATCATCTTCATTTTCAGTTGGTTGTGGTATAAGTTCAAGTGGATGTTCATGTCCTTTCTTTTCGCATGCCGAACATAGATCATAATGACCACATGTTGAACAATAATATCTTTGACCAATAATAGGATACATTTGACATCCATCACAAAAAAAATTCCATGGAAATTCTTCTGGCAAAAGAGGAGGTAATTTTTCTCCTCGTCCCCATGTTTTCAATGCTTCGATTCCTTTAACTGAAACATCCCCATGACCATGACGTGACAAAACTTTTCCATCGGATGAAATGATAAACAATGATGGAATATCTTTACAGAAACGAATAATAATTATTGTATAAAATCAATAAGTTAAATATATACTTACCAGAAAATTGAAAATATGCTTCGAGAAGAGTACCAGCATTTAATGGAACAGCAGGCCAAGGCATTTCTGCACGATCGCTATTGAATGATTCTTCATCTTCATCACATGATACAAAAACAATACGAAAACCATGAGAAATTGCTTGTGCTTCTTTATAAAGTTCTGCTAATTTTGGTGTGAAAGCACGACAAGGTGGTGGACACCAATGAGCAGAGAAGTAAAATCCAACACTTTTTACATCATTTTCCCACATTGTTTTTGTTTCAATTTTTTCGTCATTATTAGGATTAAGTAAATAAGGAACTGATTTTAAAAGTGCTTCTAATGAGTAATGTTTTTTAGGTATGAGATATTCAACAAGAGGATGCTCATGCTTATTATTTGGTAGACATGTTTCACATAAATTAATATTACATTCTTTATGTGTACAACCATGACGTGAGCCAATCAAAGGACTCATATAACAACTATCACAAGTAGTATCTTCCCAAACATATTCACCTTCACGTGCTTCACGTGACCAAAATAAACGTTTTCCTTGTGACCATAGATCTAAAGCTTTATTGGATGCAGCTCGTACTTCTTTAACACCATCCGAAGTAATTTTTTCACATGTAGAAGAAAGAACAACCAAAGATGGAATACCATTGACATTAAATTTTTCACCCAATGTGTTTGAACGATCTCGATCTAAATAGATATTATTTTATTGATTTATTCAATTTGATTTACAAAGTTCTCAAAATGTTATCGATTCTGAATTAATATTTAATTTAGTGTATTTTGGAAAACACGATTTACAAGCAGTATTGAAGTATATGGAGTAGAAATTTGCACATCCTACAGATACATATTGTCGGTTTCAAAATTAAGATATGAGATACTTTTTTTTAGCTTTTTGTATTCGATGACTAGCGTATCCTACATATTTCTCAGACGACTAGAGTTTATGAGATCCAAAATTTTCAGATGTGGTTAACAGAAAAATTTCAGACTCGCACCTGGTCTGGTTTGAAACCAATCCGATAGGCTCTATTCAAAGACCATATATCAACAACATATTGTTATAATATATGGGCGTGCTTAACCATAGGGTACCCCATAGGAAATAATATTATTCCAGGAAGGAGTATAGAATGAATTTTATACCAAATTTTGGTATAAAATTCATTCTATACTCCTCCTTGGAATAATATTATTTCCTATGGGGTACCCTATGGTTAAGCGCGTCCATATATATATAACTACTTATGGCATTTCAAAAGGATTAAATAAAAGGATGGCAAAGAAACGTATCCTAAAATATATAGAATAAAGCGACCTCCTTATGATTAGCAAGAGCAGGTACATCGCGTTTCACATTTTAATCTCACAGAGATCATGATAACAGATTTTTCTTTCAGAAAAAATAATTGAAAGAAAAAAAAATTCTATTGATACTCTTAGCTTCTGTTGTCATACGAGGAGATTCTTTTTTTTCAATATTTGCTTAACATCTCTTGTGATTATTTGAATATGAAAGAAAGATTCAACATACCAGAGAAAGGTACAGCTTTCCATGGCATCTCCTTGAAATATTCATCAAAAGCAGCTTGATCTTCATCCCATGAAATAAAGACAATATCGAGTTTGTCTTTGACTTCTTTATTAAGTTCTTTGAAAATTTTAGCTAATTTTGGTGTAAAATTTCGACATGGTGGACACCAATGAGCTCTAGAGAACAAACAATCAAAATATATTTTTGTGAATTAATTAATAATAAACATACGAGAAATAAAGTGCAACAGTTTTTCCATTAAGTTGATCCGTTGATATTTGATTTGATTCACTTCCAGATTCATTATGTTGAAGAAGTTGTTCACCTAACAACTCACTGAAAGTCATCGCTGTTTTTCTACAATAAATGTGTTAAGCACAAACATAATAGTGCTCCGTTTTATAGAAAAAATTAAAAAGGAGGTGCTGTCGGTTACCACAGAATTGTGCAACACACACACACATTCAATGTTCTTCGGGTGACTGTTTTTTTTGTATTTTCTGCCGGCTTATTCACGCATATGTTTTTTCTTTCTGTTATAAGACGACGTATACAGGTTTTTTCAGAGCAGCTTCTCCTCAGAAAAAGAATATTATCATATAAAGAAAAAGAAATTTTTCTATAGACTCGAGTACCGATGGTAAGTTACGACAGAATGAATATATGATTATTCATAGACAAATGTAATGCGTGAATCAGTGTGACGATTTTTAGACGGAAGAAGAGCTAGCGCTGATAGAACTACGCTTTATTGTATTTCTTCCTATCAAGAATCGTATCGCTTCCATACAAAACATATGCTTATATACTTATTCATCAGAGAGAAGGAAAGAATATGAGAGGAAAGAATGATAAGGACAGAAAATAACATAAGATCATATATGGGAAGAAAGAGATATAAGAACAAAGTATACGGACAAAGTATACGGACGACAATAACAATACGGTCATTATGCCATACAGCGTACTCAAGCGGGAGCGTTACAATCAGCTTATACACTTAGTTTTTAGTACTAATGAATATGTCTGAATATTCATTCAAGAAATAAAAAACATAACATGATGGAATACAACGAGAAAAAAAAAGAACAAATGAGATTATAAACATATATCAGAATTTATTTTAGACATTATAAGTATTCATAATAGAACTTATTAACTTTATACTATAACACCGATATTCAACTAAAATTACGAATGCTTTAATAAATGTGTATGATCATTAAATTGATTAATTTTTATTTTATGTATGATGTCGGAAATACACAATGAAAAGAGAATTTTTTTGTTCTTCTTTTTATACATATGATTAGATAGAATGTGATGAGCTTGTCAAGAATATATATATATATGCTTTCATTTTGTCAGAATGACCTTTTTTACGAAAATAATTTCAATTTTTTCCAATGATCTAGTTTTTCTGAAAAAGAAGTCAATTTTCGATAACGGATAAATATGTCAATTGTTTTTTGTTTTCTTGAAATTTCAAAACTGTTTGTTTCACATTGGATCTGAAACAAACAGTTTTGAAATTTCAAGAAAACAAAAAACAATTGACATATTTATCCGTTATCGCAAATTGATCTCTTTCTTAGAAAAAGTGGGACATTGCAAAAATTGAAATATTTCTTCTAAAAAGTTACTCCAATAGAATGACAACACATATATTCTTGATTAGATCGTCACACTCTGTGTAACCATATATAAAGTGCGGGCAATTCAAACTTCGAGTAAAATTTTTTTACATCTTTGACAGAGCGTAAGATGCTGACCACGAAAAACTACTTTTTAGCGTTAAAAAAATGCTTTTTTCGGGTCGAAAAAAACGAAAAACTTGAAAGGTGTTGTTTTTTTCAAAATATGCAGAATTTTCTACTTCATCCTTTCTTTCAAATTCAGTATAAAAAACTGAGTACAGACAGGTTGTTAAATCGATTCTAATCCTAAAAATATTTTGATGGTGGCACTTCCAATCGCAATGGATATTATACGTATAGGTCGATTTTGTAAACCTATCTAGTTTTTCTACGTAAGCGATGAAGTCGAATATTTTGTTTCATTCGATGCATCATCATACCTCCAGTTACAAAACTATGCAGCGCGTTTTTTTTCTTTGTTCGGAAAAACCTATTTTTCTGAATTTTGGACCGAATAGATACGATTTTGCCCGTGTCTCTTCATAAAAAGTAAGCTTTCGTGCAATAATCTTATCATATCTGACATCAGAGCGAGAAATCGAATCGATTGATATATAATTTAACATTTTCTGTCGACTTCAGTTTTTTAGATGAAAACCTGGCTGAAACTTTCACCAAAAAATGAAAGGTAACGAAATTTCTCGAAACATACTTTAATCGGTTCAGGTTTTGTGCTGATTTTGAATATGATAAGATTATTGCATGGAGGCTTAATTTTTATGAAGAAATACGGGCAAAATTGTATCTATTTGGTCCAAAATTCAGAAAAATAGATTTTTCCCAACAAAGAAAAGAAAAAAAACGCAATACATACTTTCGTAACTGGAGGCATGATGAGGCATCTAATGAAACAAAATATTCGACTTCATCGCTTACGTAGAAAAACTAGATAGGTTTACAAAATCGACCTATACGTATGATATCCATTGCAATTCGAAGCGCCATCATCAAAATATTTTTTGGGATTAGAATTGATTTGATAACTTGTCTGTACTCAGTTTTTTTATGCTGAATCTGAAAAAAAAGGATGAAGTAGAAAATTTTGCACATTTTGAAAAAAGATGCGTTTTAAAAAAAAACAACAACTCTATCAAATGATGTAAAAAAAATTTTTACTCAAAATTTGCATTCTCGGTACTTTACTATTTATGTAATTATCAAACAGTAAATCGTACATATGGCACCCTATCATTTCGTCTCATTACTTTTCGTCCCCTTACACTACGTCCCATTCATTTCGTCCCTCACTCATTTTGTCCCTTTTCATTTCGTCCGAAATTCATTTCGTCCCATACACTTGGTCCCAAACGCATTTTGTCCCGTTACACTTTGTCCCTACTTTTTTGATATGATTAGCTAACTTTGACGAAAGAGAAACAGAAAAGAAAAAAATTCACACTCAAATCTTGTTCACCACGTAAAGCTGTTCTTCTTTGCTATTT